AATTGAGCTTATTAGTGAAATTAACATTGGGATTAAATCCTCTACTGTTAAGCAGATTTATCAGTTTATTAATATTTCCGTATAGTGTGTTGTACAATCTCTATAGGGTTATTCTCATTTATATCTGAGCAAAATGTCTTCAGTTTCAATTACTTCTTTAACATGTATAACTGTCAATCACTTGCACTATACTTTCTGTCTGGATTTGTTTATGTTTTAATTACCATTACATCATGTTGGTTCACTCTTGCTATATAGTGCCTTGTTATTCATGTATGAACTTTTTAAATGTTAAACATTTTCTGCAGGGAAGATAAATTAACGACGTTACTATTTATTGTGGACTACATTTATGTTGACGTTAAAAGGTTTCAAACACTACTTGTTGATTAATTACACTAAAGATAACGGATTTTACAACCTAATTTGCCTATTTTAACCTAATTATTAACGGCATTCACAACGTAACTTTATAATTATTTACTTAATGTCTAATACCCATAGAATAATTGACAGTACCTTATTGGTCTTACCTAGCTACCAGTATTGCCAAATCTTCATTTTTTTATTCATAATGATGTCATTATAACAGCAATGATGGTGTGGACTTAAAATACTATAGCATTTATAAGCGTATAATTAAAAAGTTTTCAGTGTTCAACAATGAGGGTAAAACCACCGTAGATGGAATGGTGTATTTTATATAATGTCTGAGTATATTCCAGCACATGTCAGATACAAAGTCTATTACACTGCTACAGGTGCAGAACACGAGCAACCTGTGGATACATCCAACAGGTCCTTCAGACGATGAATACAATCATATCTAGATGGCTTTGTTCTTGGCACCAGTTTGAAAACTTAAAGTCACGGATACTTTTAATAGAATGATTGAAAGCTAAGTGAAGGACTTGTGAGAAACAGCTAATTAATTAATTATCCATTTTCATCTTTAGGATTTATAAAATGACTTTAGGTTAAGGACCTTCTGTCGTCTCCGATTCACTATATTGGATGACTATTAAATATTATTTCTGTTTTGATGTGTTTAATGTGTTTTGTGTGTGTTTTGGTGTGTTGTGTTGGTGATTAATGTATTGAAGTGTTTCTATAGAAAATAAGAGTGTTTACAATCTTTTTAATTCTCTTGATATTTGAAAATAGAGCTATAATCCTCCGAAACTGTATCTAATAATATATAGTAAATGGACGATATAAAGTACGTAACCAATAGTCAATAATTATATTTACAGACCAGAAAGAAATTGATTGACTATTTAGGTTAAATGTGAACTTGATTTTTGATGTAAGATACTAAATAGAAACTTCACACTGGAAGTTGGTCGATGAGAAACAACGTCACAAGTGTTTTAGCTTCGTAAACAAACTCATCAAGTAAAAGCTTTGGAATTATGTAGGTCGCTTTCATCGTCCACTTTCATCATCTAAATGAGACATATAAAACATTGAGACAGAATTTGAATTTAAAAGAATGTTTAGGAAAGCAGAATCTATTACAGCTAGCAGAGCCAACTCACCAAAGACGGAAATCAATCCCCATGCGACTCATTTAACACATTGTACATGAACTATGTAACGATCATTTATTAAAAAATATCACTTTCTTTTATAGATACATAGACATAAAATCACTCATGTGTTATGTGTCAATCATTGACATGAGTTTTTTTAGAGATGTATTTAGACATTCCACCCCATGTTAAAGATTTAGTCAATTTTTTAAATTAAAATCATCGTAGTTTATAGTATTTTTTTTTTTTTTTAAGGGTTAGTGTGAAATTTATTTTAGCGTTGTTGTCTTGATAGTTGTTTGAAGCTAGCTTGCTACGATCTTTCCACAATTGTTTGTCTATTTGAGGAGTCTCCAATGAAGTGGTTTAATAAGTGGCTCAATGACGATCACAAGAAATTTTACACCAAAATCTATCCTTTTCCATATCGTTCGTGTAAGCATTGGGTTTATAAATGGAATTGTTATTGGCATTAAATTGTGAATATAATAACTGAGACCCAATATCAGTAAGCGAAGAATAACTATTTTATTCTCACCAAACAGATCTGACGATTCAACTGCTGGACATAAATATTGCCATTGATTGTTCCCAGTTTAAGTTTAGTATTTAAGCCACAAAACAATATACTGTATGTCCAGCTCAAAAGGCCAACAATACTTTATATTTGTACCACCTCGGTCGCCACTAGTATTTAAACGTGAAATGTATTAATACATATATTTATTTTCCTTTTCTCACTTTTTCTGGGCACTAGTTGAAATATATGTGTGTAAGATTTTCATTTAGGTTTTTGCAATTATAATGATAGTGGTTTATAATAAGATATATGAAGTTTTATAATAAAAACAATAATCTGAAGAAATCCCGATTTAAAAAGTGTCGTGTTATATTTCCTTTCCTTAAACTAAGCACTTATCGTAATTTATAACAGTGTGTTTTACACACAAAACAGTGTTTAAAACAAATTCCTCAAAAAAATCCCTACGAAAAAAAAAAAAAATAAAACTAAATCGACGTTTTTGAAAAATATTTAAAATGAAAATGTCATCACTCCAAAGTTTTTGAGGCGTATACAACACCTCATGACACCGCATTTCCCATTTCATAAAGACCCTTCATTTAAGTGAAATGCTTTTACTGCTCATTAAGATAATGGCTTTGTTTAGAGTAACAAACATGTAGATTTAATAACTAAACCTCTTATGTATAATCACCATTCTTCTTTATAGCAACAGACTTAGTTCTTTAAATCCATTAAAATAACTTTTCCTAAATAAAAGTTAGAGGCCTACAAATTTATACTTAATGAGACCAAGTTTTTATTTAATTGACTCAAGTTTTCCATGACATTACGTTATTAATCAAAAATAATTCCAATATTTAAATAAGCTCTAAGAAGTAAACTTTTATTTTGAATTGTGATTAATTGTCGAGAGTCCAAACTGCACAGTTATTATAATACGATGAACGAGTATTTCTAACAGATATTCTAAATCCATTGAACTCCATTTATCAAAACCGACCTCCCATCCATCAATGACAGTTAAAACGTAAAATACTCAAAGATAGCCTAGATTGAGAATTTCTCAGACACTGTTTGTCATTTCATATTTCCATTTTGTAAAAATGAATGAATACAGTAGTTATAAATTTCCTCTACACCAAAACGCACTACGCAATGCATTAAATTATTTTCTTAGATCTGTTATTGGATCTGGAGCTGATTAAAACTATTTTAAATAAATATGGCCAGTAGGGGCCTAATTTAAAACTCTTCATAAGCTACGATATTAGAATCAATAGTCTGTAAGTGTTAAAACAACTATCACACAAAAGGTCAAACATGAAAGTGTTATGTTATTAAAGTTGTTATTGAGTTGGTTCATTAATATTTATTACACCAGAATAACAGTTTCCCAATGTATAGTTCTGTGCGTTATTGGGAATATTAATTTACCATTATATTGTTATTCCATTGTTTTATGTCTGACCATCTTTTAAAGTTCTTTTAAGGAAGAACTGAAAAATTTTCATTTTAAACTAGCTTTAAAACTAACCAAAAAGAGGACAAGTATGACGATGCCATATTCGTTAAGCAAAATCATAAAAAAAATAATTTATCTTATTTCTGTCTTAAAATAAACTGAACATTCTGAAAATTCCACCAATTTTTTTGTATGAAATAGTACATTGATAAAGCTCTTAAATATTATATTCTTAAATGTAAATGGTTATTATCTTTAACACTACATTTACTGTGTGTATCCCTTTTACTGCTGGTAAATGATTACATTACTGATTTAAATCTCCACTATAGATAAAAGTTAGATTTAGTGTCCAGTACACTGTGAGGTGGAAATAGTTTGATAGATGTCCCTAAGAACATTTAAATCCCCATATAACATATAACATGTTATATAACGTACGACATATAACACTATATAAATCTCTGTTGAGGTCAACTAATCAGCGAAACCTCATCTTCATTCCCATGTAACTCCTACGTCCTCATAAGTACCTCTTACATAATGTTGTATATTTATGCAATGCATGCAATTTTCAATTGCATTTAACTGAAAAGTGAAATGATTACGCATTTATAATGTTGTAAATAAACAATGCATACGTTAATTGTTATTTAATTTAAATATTATAAGTTTCAAATGATACTTTTCAGTTATTCCTTTACAAAAGTTTCAAAAGATAGTTCCACAAAGTAAACGGTTAGTATTTGATACAAAACATTCATAACTAAACATTTTTGTATTTGTTGAAAAGGAATCGTAAATAAATAAATCCATAGGTAATCACAAAATAAATAGACATTTATTTGTTAGTACATTAACAGCAATAGATAAGGGTTTGTAACAGTATTTCAGGGTCTTAATATAGGGAATAAATATTTAGTCTCATAAAGTTAAAACTTTCAATTGATCTTTTAAGGCAATCATTTCTTTTCGTAATATATGTACAATTTAAATAATACGAATATAGCTTCTTGATCAATTGCAGAAAATTTTAAATTATAAGAGGGAAATAGTTGACACCTGTGCCATTTATAAACTCTTATAGATAAAACTACAGTATATATAAATGCTCTTTTGCGTATATAGTACTGTACTTGAATACCTAGGTAAAAGCAAATACAAATCAATCTTTCCAGAATTAATTTATCTTTTTTCAAATCATTGAAATTAAGATAGATCAATTTTCCTTAAAGAACAATCTAATAGGGCTACTTTCTGCGTGTTGGGAGACAAATCGAACAAAAATGACGGGAAATTATAGGGAGGTCCAAATGGGTTTGATACTATGAGTTTTGTGTAATCTATATTACAAAATGTACAATAAGTCCGGGCTTTTTCAAATAAATTTCGCAGATAAAACGTTTTCCACAATAAATTAATTCTTTCATAAGTTAAAAACCCGCTATTACAATGAAACTAATGCTGAATGTATTTTTTTAGATAGGAAGTTTACATATTTTTATAGTTCTTTGAGTGAAATAGTTTTTACTGTGTTCTACATAGTTATCTTAAGCAAAATAGTAAAATAATTATTTTATTCCAATACTGCATATTAAATTCCTTCCTTTGAAAGATAAGAATAAAACGTTCTGAAATGTATCTACACCTCTTTAATGTTTGTATATACCAGTAATCAGTAATTAAAGAACAGTGTGTAACTTTACGAATCGTCCTTATTTTTACTTTCAATTAATTGACGTAGTTTGTATTCTCTATAAGATGTTTCAGCCTTAGAAATAATCAAACGAAAGAACCGTTATCTAGATCACAAATATACATTTCTACTATTGTTTCCATTAGTTCAATACAATATTGGTAAGTCAGTAGAATTTACATTCCATTGAGTATTAGTTCTAGACCTTCGCATGAACGTCAAATCAGTATTGTCATAATCCAAGCAAATTATTCACAATAAATTGTACATAATTTGTCCATCAGTTTCTCCGACGAGCACCTAAGAACTATGAGCTCGCAGGTGATGTGGCAACACTGCACGGTGATGGAGTCGTAAGTTTGGCAACAGCGCACGGTGCTCTCCGTGCACTCTATGGGTGGGATCAACAACTACACGTGTCAATTCACTCCGGGTCCGAGAGAGCGAGCCATTGTGCAGTAGCTGTCTTACTGGTCAACATCTGGTTGTAGAAATGTTTCTCCGTCTCCTGGCTGACCATGGCTCTGCCTAGAGACTCGCTCGGACCTAACAGGCTGTCGTGCATGACGTTGAACTCAATGCGACATTTGGTCAGCGCATCTTTGGATATGTCGAACGTGAGTGCCTCGTTGAATACAGGACTGACTGTGTTGCGATGAACTGACGTCTTCTTACGCTTCAATCGACGTCCGTTGGTAATCAGCGACACTTTGACGTAAGGATCTACAAAGTAAATACAATAGGTAAATATGATACACAATCATACAATAGGTATGTAAGATAGTGGCTTAGAAACTGTTTCATTGATCATGAAAATTTGTATCACACTTGTTCATGTATATCTGTGTAAAATCTTTAACTCCCAGTTGGTTTGCCAGATTTATAAGTTTGATTTTCAAACCATGGAATAGATTATCTGTAAATTTTACAAATCGGTAAACTTAGTTATGGTTTTTGTATTAGACAAATTCAAATATAAAGGAAATTATAACTTTTGAATACTTCTATTGAAAAGTGGAAATTCTCAATTAACCAGTAAAGTTGTATCTGTAGTGCCTGAAAACCCGATAGTTATATTCTAATGTATAATCATTCCTCCTCTTTCGGGGCTAATACTTCAATATCATTACAAAAATGAAAATTGTAATTTGTATTTTAATTCATGAAACTAAAGCTGTACGGTAATTCAAGATCGGTTTGAGAATTCCAAAATATCAACCCAATAATTTTTAAGACTCAAACATTATTCTATTATTGTAATTTTTGAAATATCACAACGCACACATTATTTTTAGGGGTTATCGCACGTAATCTGCTCGTCACACTATCCGTGAGCTGCTTAGAACTATGAGAACATCGTAGATATGGCAACACTGCACAGTTAGGTGGTAGGTTTGGCAACATCGCACGGAGCTTACGCTCTCCGTGCACTCTGTGGGTGCGAACTACAACTACACGAGCGTACCTGAGGAGGACCGTGTATCATCGACTACTCTGAGGTTTCTAGCCTTGATGACTACAACAGTGAGACGCTCGGCGGAGGGAAGGTACGCCAGAGACACCATCAGCTCTCCCAGCTCAGCCTACGAGTAACAATTAATTGGTTTAATGTTTAATTGATCACAGATAATAGCGCATACCACAACCAAAAATATAAAAAACTTAAATTAAGAAAGAAAATTTAGTTTGTTTTTGTATTGGTTGGCTACACATAAATTGAATACATTTACTTATTTGTACAAACAGTTATAAATCGTATGATATGAGGTCGGCAGAATTCTACCTGCTATTTCGCCCATATGATAAATACCATATTCCTGCTAAATGTTTGCTCATAAAGTATGTCTAAAACGGTTATGGTAATGGAATGAGCGAAAATATTCGATGTTTGATATGGATGAATGGTTGATAGTAATAAATTGATTACAAGACAGTGTAAAATACGTGAAGATAACGTTTTGAGATTTAAATTTTCCATAGATGGGATATTTTAGTTTAACAGAAACCCTGCTGTGTGAATATAATAGGATATTTACGCCTCCACGCATACCCATAAAAATATGTTTTGCATAGATTAATTTCCTAAATGTCAAGATAATGTCAAGGTTCACAGAACTAACAAGTGAAACCGCCCAAAGTACATAAATTACTTTTAAATTAGAAAGTCTGCATTGTTTCATCTCACTAAAGCTAAAATATTATTTTGTTTTTCATTGTATAAAGACATTTTGATTGTTTTTACTCACAATTTACCTTTCTACACCGTTCTCACATTACTATAAAAATTAAAACGATATGCCTATGTTTATTAATACAATCTAAAACATTTTATACGATTGTCATAATTAGTTGTGGGGAGGAGGTGAAAATGCATTGTTATTAGTAATCATAGTAAAATAAGTAATAAGGACAAATTTACGAATTTTGAAATTACTCTAAACAATCAATAGGAAATCTGTTCATAACCTGTTAACTATAACAACGTAATTACCCCTAATATTTTAGAGTTTTACATTCTCATTCGTAAAAACTGGGCATATATTTTATATTATTGGTGGTAACATTTGGAATAACACGAAAAGGCTTCTAGAGTTTGATAGTAAAACATCAGGGTTATAATATGGAAGAGATATAGTCCCAAGAGGGTTCAGTAGAAACGTGGGTAAGTGCTGAATTCTGTGGCTGCTGGCTTCAATTCCAGTTTATTTTCGATGACCCTACATTTATAAAAATATAGTTGAACCGAGGGAAGAATATAACAACCAAACAAATCTTGACTCTATTTTAACATTAAAGGGTTGTTTTAACAACGTTTATTTTTGTTTGATTAATTATGAGTAATAGTTGTACAAAATGGCATACCTCTTAAACTAACCGGATTTCTTCTGGTTAAGTTTTATCATCATTAAAAAGTGATTGAATTAGTAATTAAAGTATTGTGGGTCGATATTTCATGCCTGTATCATAACATTTGAATTGTCATTAAACTAAATGAATCTGTTATTATAATTTATGTATGCTGCATACTGTATATAAATAATTAATTGCCAATCAAAACTTTTCCATTGAACAAAGCAGCAGTAATTTAAAGTTTCGATTGAATGTATTTTCATCTATTGTCAGACACCCCTTCTGTATTGTTTGGAAACAACTTTTCAAAGTAAGTTTTCTTCCTTTATTTCCTTTTGCTTTCCATTTTTGTAACTAGCTCTATGAATCTATGTACACCAGAGTCGAATGTGTAAAGATTTTTGAATAAAAATAAAAGGTATATTTTAATAACAACTCAAATCATATTTCAATGTTTAAACGATTTGAACAATTATTTACAATATTAATATGAAATAATTTGTGTTGATAAACTAAAATAGGCCATCACGATATGTGTGGAGGAAAATATTTTGTCACAATTTGATTTATAGGTTAGTACAATACATATATTTATATAAACACTCGCAATTTTATGTATTATTACATAATTATGTGTGCATATACATTAAACTATAAAACTGAACTACCTAATTAAATAATCTCCTTTTAATTATAACCATTCAGAATTCTAAAAATTTATTATTTGTTATTAAAAGATTACATCTTTGTCGTAGTGATGATTGGACATTCATCTACCTCAGACATTTCTTCGGATCCCACAATACTTAATGCTTAAATACAGTACTTTTCATTGAAATAGCGACCACACAAAGTAGGTATTTTAAACCAATTATGAATGAGTGTAGGATGAGTGGCGCGATCTTGTTGTCTTGTTAGTGACTAAGGTCGACATAGACACACCTATTAATTAATAGCCCATACAGCTAATACCTATTAACTAACAACCAATGGGTTGTCTTTAATTAAGGCAGCTATTCGACCTATTGTGTACCCTTATTGTAGGAACTTAAATTCTCCAATTCCAGATCCTTTATGAATCCTGATTTATTTTTTTAACATTTTCCCCTAGATTTCCAAGCGATCTCGCATCCACTCTTACAGAGCTGGGTATTCAAATAATATGAGGAAAGCAATTCCTCACTCAGAAACTCCTCACAGAATGTTCTGCACAAGGGGTTCTCAACTAGAATAAAACTCACACTGTTTAAAAGTTGGTTATTTGTCTACTTCCCACCCACAACCACATTATTGACAGTGTCCCGTACCTTCGAGTCCTGTTCAGAGCACGGTCCTAGACCCTTCCACAGCGATACTTTGTCGGAGAGGTCAATGTTGGCCAAGGGCAGTTTGACCCCTCCAATGCTGTGGTGGCGAGAGTACGCGTCAAAATCGTACAAAATGATCTCCAACGTACGTCTGCCAAGCGCAGCTGGTCGCACCTCGAACACGAAGTCCTCGTCGAACACTACAACAAATTGCAACTTTAAAAAAACTCTTGATATGTGTAGCATTTGAGATTAGTGTTAAACAACAGTAGTCTAGTTGAAACTTACCATAGTCCACAATAATGGTAGGAAAATAGTCCACAAAATATCATCTCGAAATATGTGTAAACGTTGAGATCAGTGTTAAACCAGTTCTGATGTACGATATGCAACGCTAAGCCAATAACCGATTAAATATCCTGATGGAATCAGTTTCATCGATTGAATAATCTCATCCTCATTGTTCTGCTATTATATGATTTACATTTAAGAGCCATTGTACCTTTGAGCCGTAGCACTGATTGTATAAATGTGTTAGTGAGAATTATAATGAACTCATCATTGTGATGATTCAACAACAAAGGTGAAACATTCAAAACAACATAAAAAGTTAAATTCTTAGGATAGCCAATTGATCAAATCAGCTAATATTGTTATTCAATATACCAGTGAGATTTCCCATTAAATGCATTATTGACTTCTTTTGTAAAAGGTACTACGGAAGCGTGTAACATAACATTAACTTAGGCTATAGACTGACAAGGCTAACAGCAGCTTCAGTGAGCTATCAACACTCTTCGCCATACTTAAAAACGGTCCCTTAAAACACGAAAAATGCTAATTTGACGTAGGGGACATCCAAAGTGTTTTATAATAAGTAGATTACCAGGATTGAGAGTGCGTTTATGTATTCTAGTCTGCCATACGTTGGTTCGGTCTGGCAGCAGACGGATCTTGGCGTAAGGGTCAGCTGTTCCACTGAAGTCCCTGGCTTGTAGATCATGAGCCTAAAAAAGAAAAAAGAAAAAAAAAATCTAAATGAACAGTTTAGTGAAGTGTAGATGGACTATTAGTCATATGCAGTAGTTTCAATATGAAATATGAATATTGTTAAGCAAATTTTAGTAAGAATATTATTTAAAAAACAAATAGGCATCTAAAGCCAAAAATATAATCTTGGTGCCTATTGATTACTATTTTACAAAAAAACTAATACGCACCTTAAACCTGTGGTTGGTCTTCAAACAGTTAATTATACACATTTTTGATGGGGTTTTATGCATTTAAAATTTCATGACAACATAAATAGTGTAGACAGCAATTTTCTGTTACAATAATGATGTACTATAAATGTAACTTAACAAGACATACTTCAATAAAGTATGTAAAAACTGACAAAGTGTTTGATTAAATTTAATCTTTAAACCCTACTATTTAATATTTAAATGTTCACTTTTATTTAACAGAAGCTGGACATTTTCATAATAGAAGAAGTATAGATATATTTTAATCATAATCGTTAAATGCCACTAAAGAGAAGAGAAATCATAAATATAACAAAGCTTTAAAATCAAAGAGGTTTTGTGATAATGTGAAAGGTTCCTATCATGAGCGGAACTTAATTGTTTTGTCTGCCGATGATATGTTTTACGTTCCTTTTTATTACATCACTGAACAGCTTTAATTGGTTTTATTCATGAAGCCATATTACTTTTTACGATTATTTGTTTATTTTAATTAACTATAATGTTTGCCTCTGATACGTCTTTAAATTTTAACCCTCCAAGATAAATATGTCTGAAAATGTTGGCAATTTACGAGTTAGTATAGTACGGAATTTTATGAATATAAAAATAATTTAAGGTTAACTTTTTTGGAGTAAAATCCGAACTGAAACTAAAAAATGATTTTACCAGTATTTATTTACAAATAGCTTTGTACACCGATTGTTTATTAAAACAATAATTTAAAACATGTGAATTCTATCAAATATAGCACAGTGAGCAAATATTAAATTATGTTGAATTTTTAAAGAGGAAATAATTAAACTACTTAAAAATCACATATTCATTGTAAAAATGTCTAGCAATTATTTTGGAAATACATAGGAAATATGGTTCAATAATCAATTGAGCATTGCTCCTCTCACCTCATTAAGTCTGATGGTGAGTATTCCAGCGGCAGGATCATATGTTAGAGTTAGATGGACGGATCCCCGCAACTCCTCCGGCTCACTAGAAGACCTGGCTGGCTGAGACTGAAGTCATATATTGATATCAAACACGAAAAATAATCCAAATAGCCTAAAAATTAGTAAAAGTATGATCTGTTAAGTTCTCAAAAATATGTTCTAAACCTTAGATCGTGATGTGCACGTAAAGGAGTTTAAGAACGAAACGAAAGTTACACGTTGGTGAATACATCTGGATTTATGCAAACCACAATGTGCTCTTGGGCAACTATTTTTGACTATACCAAATGGTCCATTTGAGGATCAGAACTAGATTTTCTGCAGCTTCATTTGAAGGTATCCATCACAAATAATAAATCTTTTTAACACACGTACATGGACATTAAAACACGCATATAGACCAAAACTCATCTTAACACAAATGCAAGGTCCGGTTGAGGGGGTTGGGATATTAATGTGTCGGCTAGTACAACGTGAATATGACAGTGTTTGATATAGAAGCAACAAAGGAATTAAAGATTAACTGAGTATAAAGTAAATAGTATTGTTGTTTTTTTCTAAAGGAAAAAAACAAGAAACCAATGCTATAGCATCAGGATAATCCTAACCAGATAACTGGAGACCACATAAATAATGTTTGCATACAATTCTATAAGAATTCAGTTGGTTTTAGTCAGTATTAAAGCTTCACAATAGATCACACCCCCATCCCTCTCTCGTCTTCTATTCATACTTGATTTGGTTCACAATTCACCATCTGCGTCGCTATTTCAGTGTTATAGCTTAAGTCACATCCCAATATATCAGTAATTTATTTAAAGACTCTTGTTTAAAATGTACCATTAAAGGCGGTCGCAAAACGTTTTTCGATCACCAAGAGTGTCAAATGAAGTTCTTTTAGATGCAACAGGTGCCTGACTCCAATGCGAATCTTACGTGGAATGATTATACAACAGAACCCTTTAGAATATTTGAATCCCCGTTTCACATAAAATAAATCTTCGTCAATTGGCAATGAAAAATACGATACGAAATTTTTGTATGGCATGTGAACTTTACTTGATTTTTTAGTATAACATTTTGAGTGATATCAATTGTTATTTGTTTCTTTGTTGTAGTTTGAATCACAATGTATTTTCTTAAACAAACAATTATGAAAATCAGACTCTAAACCATTAGTATTATGACTAATCTTACAGTAATGCATCTTCAGAGCTGCAATAGCCTTACGCTCCGTGGCCCTTTTGTTTTTGCCAACACAAAACCCCGTCAATTCAAAAGGTGAAATGAAATTGCGACAACCTTTGTTTAACTTAGATGACAAGTTGTAATGTTAAATTAATTACTGGTGAAATTTGTGGAGAAACTTAGAAGCGTTTTGGCATGACATAGTGAAAACACCTCTCTAAACTGTGCATTGGGTTTTCAACAATCAACTAAAACTCACAGCTTAAAGCTAAACAATTTCTGTAACTTACTTCTACCTGAATCTTAAGTTTACATCAACGTGAATGTACTCAAAAGTTATCTTAAAAAGTTTTAACTCAAACTACATCACCGAACAAAAGGTAAACCAATCATATTTTGTTCATAAACAATATAGTATTCTTTGGGAGAAACAGACCATATATATTTAAGAAAATATTTACATGGAAAATCTAATTGGGCAAATGGAAATTCACTTAGTCTGCAGCAGGTGTGCTGTAGCAAGGTATCAAACATTTATAAATATTTTAATATTTTATTTAAATGCAAGGTGTTAATTTTTTGTTGGGCTTAGAAACTTGAGAAGGTTCCCTCATACACAAATGCCCTCCTCAGTGGTGTAGGTGGAAAAACATACATTTTTCCTTCACATGTAAGCATGTAGATTTAGGTGTGCTTCAATTCACCAAGCTTTCGCATAATCAAATAACTAAAATCCTTCAGTGATTTGGAGGAGCCTTTAGGTCAACCCTCCAGATTTTTCAATGGCCTGGATGCAACATTTTGTACACAGATTGTACGCATTAAAATATCTTGCATAAGGGTGAACGAGATGTACATCACAGGGGGTGAGGGGGGATATTACAGCTGGTCGGGGGGGGGGGGGGGGGGTTGAGTGGCTCGGTCACTGAAGTGTTCTCAGCTTCTCCACAATTCAAGTTTTTGCCCGAGACCGTCCGTTCCACCCCTATCCAGCTTAGATCAATTCATTACTAAAACTTCGATCAAATAAAAAAATGAGATGATTATTATACGAATTTAAAATTTATTTTCAAAACTCAGACCATTTTGTTTTTATGGGTGGCTAGGCACCCATATGGTAAGATTGCCTTCAAAACTAACAAAAGAGTGTAGTTATAAATTCTTTAGTCTTAATGCAATTAATTGTAAAATATCCTGTAGATGGATCAGTTGTTATCATTGGTGAGTAATTAAGTTTAAATATTCGCGGTGATTACCAATACATAACCGTTAATTGATTATTGATTTTTGTAATAAATGAATTAAATATTCCATTAAAATCTGTATATTAAAGATTATTGGTTTTTCTTTTACAATTCGGTTTGGCTCTTCTACCCGACGGATTTTCATAATTTTGGTCTTAAATTAAAGGCAATCACGCACAGATTTACTATCAAGCATCGGCATTCATTTACCTGATGTATATTTCGAGTTATGAATTAAAGCGACTTCCTTCATGTACATTTCTCATGGGAGTAAAATTTGGGTTTTTTCTTACGGATTCGTTTGACTTATTCGTGTTGATTATCAATACACAACCGTTAATTGACTATTGATAATATTTGTAATAAATGAACTAAATATGCCATTAAAATGTGCGATTGTAAATTATTGCGTTATAATTTATTAGTAAAATAACATTAAACTTAACTTATTTGTTTTTGAAAGATTTGCAAACATGGCTTAAAAGTTGTCGTCCCATGTTTACCTAACACTATGTGTAAAAATGCATTAAAAAAATTGCTATCCAAAGGTTGTGCACAGTATTTATATTAGATTTAACCACAAAAATTAAACTTGACACCCCAATACCTTTTAGGGTTCTACGGTTCTACTAAACGGCAGGAACGTAATTGAATTAAGTTTAACAATAGAACCAGAAGTTCCATTGGTTACACCGGGTTTAGTAGCGTTTCATTACTAATGAACCCTCTTCATGGAACTTGAAGCTGCAATTAGAGTAAATGATGCTCCATTATACCTCATTACTAATTATACGGTAATAGTTGTTGTTATCAATACTGTTTCAATTAAGTTGCAGGAATGATTATCTTACTATTACAAACTTGTTACTTGTAAAATATATGTTGTGTTTCTGTTAGATGTTTTAGAAAATTTCATTCATATTTATGTACCTATGTTATTGTTTATACAGCGTGTCCCGTAAGTAAACAGCCAAACTCCGGAAAATGGTTCCATGGGTCAAAATAAAGAGAAAATCTTTAAAAACATTTTTTTCTTAAATCACTTTGTTAACCAGATATTCACCATTTTGTATTTTTTACATAAAAAGTTTTATTTATAAAGTTTTTCAACCGATATTTATAAAACTTGGTATATATGTTAAGGTAGAAAAGCTCCTAAATTAGAAAAAAATTATCTTGATTCAACTTAAAATTTCTAAATGGTGGCCATTTTAATTTTTTGAACTTGAATTTCTAAAAAACGTCTAATTTTATGAAAGAAATGCCAAGAACACTTTTATTTATAATTTTTAATTCCCTATCAAACGATATCAACTTAAAAGATGGAATAAGAAATAGCTGAAATATTACGATATTTAGCTGTAAAATGGGGTAGAATAAGGCAGAAGCTAGTCAGGTTTGTCCCATTTTAAAACTTAAAATCGTAATATTTCAGCCATTTCTCATTCAATCTTTTTGAACTTGATATTTGAAGGGAATTGAAAATCCTAAATAAAAGTGTTCTTGGCATTTTTTTCATAAAATTGGCCGTTTTTGAGTAGTTAAATTTAAAAAGCTAAAATGGCTGCCATTTTGAAATTTTAAGTTCGATAAAAATTAACTTGTTTTCTAACATGGGTCTCTTTTACCGTAACCTACATACCAAGTTTTATAAAGATCTATTGAATAAATGCAAAAATAAAAATGTTTATGTAAAGAATACTAAATGGCGGATATTGGTTAACAAAGCGATTTTAGAAAAAATATTTTTCTTGACTTTCTCTTTATTTTGACCCAAGAAATCACTAGGTAAAATATGTTTCCACCTTTTTTGAACACCCTGTATATTTGAACACCCCGAAATCCCGCGCTCATCCACTAGCCCAGCTATTGTGCTCACCTTGGAATATAATGGCTACTGGTTCAATCTCAAGCAAGATTCTGAGCTTAGATGCAATTTGCCATTGGGTTATAAAAAAATGATACTATATAACTGAAGGTCCTCACATAGTGACCAGGTTTATGGAAGTTCCATTACAAAACGTAATTAATGGTGTTAAAACATACACAAAGTCCCCATGACTTTACACTATAACGTTTTCTCTATAAAAATAAAGTAATCACCTGGTAGAGCGTCGTGTCTATCTTGGTATGGTCCAGCTTGGTGTGCATGCTGGACACCCTGGGTCGAGTAGTGGTCAAGACGACTTGCTTGTCGTTGCGGACGAGGGGCTCTGCCCCACCCGAGAACTGTGAGGGGGTGGGCGACCGTGGGGACCCTGGGGGCGAGTCGTCTGGAAACATGTGCAAGAGGATCAGAAGAAGTTCTAAACTTAACATAATGGGTGGTTTTAAACATGGAACACTTAATGTTTATGTGTTATTTAAGGAATTATAGCGGAGATTTTGCGTCACGATTTGAGGTAATGACGTTTTGAGATTTGGACATTTTGAGATAAGGACGTTTTAAGATATGGACACTAACCATGATAAAAATATTCACAATAATTCATTAATTTATATAATCTCTCCATCTTAAAAATAAACTTCAAACGAATGTCGAAACGAATGATACACTTTGAATGAATCCATTGTAAAAGATCAAAGAAAGGATCAGCATGTCAGGATATTGAATACACGAACATATTGTAATATTATTATTTATAATGCTGAAATGACAGAGAAACAATAACAAAACTATGTTTGAATAATTTATTTGAAAATGGAGGACATGCTTAATCAATATGTTCTCATACCGTGCATCTATACCTTTTGTGCTTTAATTTCTTTATTCTGAAGCAAATACGAGATAAATAATATACATTTTTTATAGTTTGTGCTTGCTTGTTGTCACGGCAATTGTTTGCGTTGATGATTATCGTATATTCTTGCCTCATATCATTGACTATAAATCCTCATATGTATGCATGTTAAAAGTACGTAGAGAATGAGTAAACTATCACCGAAGCTACCAAAACGTGTTCTTCGTGGTCTGAAGGGTCTGAAAATTGGATTCTGCCAAAATATGATTGTTACAAATGTTACATGGAACTGTGGAAAATTTCCTCTAAAATGCATCTCAATCCCTACAAGTAAATATTGTTTCCTCACTTTTCATCCTCAGTTTTTTAATTATTTTTTTTGCATACCAAATGACCAAATATAAAAAAAATTTAGCTGAAAATCAAATTATACTAAATATTGACTAAAATTACAATTGTACAAGTGGAAAAAAGTCCCGGGTCCGGAATGGTTAAATATTGAAAAGTAATAAAGATAGAGCTTCAAGGCTTGGTACACAGAACTAACTGGGCATATAATCATTTAACACGTTATTCAGTGGTGTGATACCTCTTCAGGGGGGCGGCCCGTTTCGAGTTAGAAGCTGTCTACTTTGGACTTGGACATGAAGTTTTGAAGCCTCTTTATTACTTTTTGGAATATTTAACCGTCCCGGCATTTTTTCCCACCCTGTATATATGTATAAGTTAAGTGTTCGTATAATTTATGTATGTGCATCTAATCATCATATAATTATGTTTAGTAAGTGGTCAATGATGCTAACCGTTTGATGAAGCCTCGCTCTGACAGACGCTCGACTGCCTCTGCAGGTTGGGAGGGACCCAGAACTTGTCTTGGCTAGGTGAGCGGTTCAGCGATCTCCTGCTGCCGCTGTCTTGTGACGTCATCGCCTCCACTGAGCCCGTCACCAGGGCCTCCTGGCTGCTGTAACATTCCACATCAGCTGTTCTGTGGGGTCTTTCAAGAGAGTGTCTCCACTAGATAAATTTGCAAGATGCATGTAAGTCAGCTGTCAAACCCGATAATTTTTTCGAATGGAATAACGTCAGGTAACGTCAAGTAAGTTAGATTACTTTAAATGCCCTTCAATTGCATTGTGAGATTTCAATAGTGGCAGTCATCATATTGAAAAGACTTAGCCTACTCTCTACACTTCGAGATTCTTAGTATAGATCTTACGGTCATGCCTGTTTCATAGTTCATTTCTAGTGATGAATTACTATAGTCGGGACCACGTAAGTTTGCAGTTGGTGGCAGCCAATCACAAGACAAGGCTAGTGCAAAGTTGCTACATCGCACTAATAAAATATACTAAGCAATATTTTCAAATCAGCTGGTATTATTAGATTTGGGAACACCGCACGGTTCTCATTGGTTCATTCAAACCCGTATGGTAAATAGGCTCCTCCCTCAACTGCAAACTTATGTGGTCCCGACTCTATGTAAGTTATGTGTTTATAAACACAAAAATAGTGGTATGGGATATTGTTTTTTTAGCTTGTTGTTTGTTGTTGTGTTGTTGTTTTGTTGTTGTTTTTTTTTTGTCGTTGTTGTGTTGTGGTAAGAACAAAGAACCTCAATAACAGTAAGTGAAAGACAGCATCATGCAGATAAGACTGTAGAATAAGTATTCAAAACTTGTTTTGTTTAATTTTATCAATTGCTTAAGTAACGATTTGGGGTCTTTTGGTTATACTGTGGGAGTAGTTATACAATGCTGCACGTTAGTTAATCTTGAGTTTTAAAATTACCAATAATTCTCTTATTGTAATCGAATAGTATGGAATTAATTTGTTAATTGTTATTGTTATATCATAGAGGAAACCCATAAATCTATGACGTATAAGTACTTTGTTTGAAAGTACCATCACTGACCAAACAATAAACTATCAAACAATAAACACTGTAACCAGGCTCTATGCTAGGTTGCGTGAGCTAACATGGGATCTTGTCACGCACATTTCCTGTCACATAACATAACAAGGGCAAATATTTCGGCTTTTTTACCTTATAATTTACATTCAGCTTTGAAAACTGCCTTGAAAATCATCGCCAGTGAACGTGAGGTAGAACAAATAATTTTTAATTTCATTCTTAATGATTTATTAGTATTTATTTGTAAACAACAGTCATAATAATTTTATAGGTGAAAACTCATAAAAACAATATATGGATAAAAACATAACTAGCAGGAAATCTTACTTTGCAATGGTATTTAGCAAAAAGAAACCAATTTAAACAATGAAGAAAATTCCAAATCAAAATGGCAGATCTTCACGAGGCTCAGCCCAAGATAGGGTTTTCTAATTATATGAATATGCCTATGGGTAGGCCTAGTTTTTTATTATCTACCATTGTGTAAAGTTCTAGCCAAGTCAGTACAGTTATTGAGTTTTATTTTTCGGAACAAACATACATACAAAAACCTAATTTTCATCATAATTATTCCGATTTACATACAATTTAGAATTCACAAAGAATATACGTTGCAGCCAGGTTTGTATATTAGAACATTCTTAAATGTGGTTTTGCAAATAACCTATTTAATTATGTATTATCTCCACTGACATTTAAAAAATATATGTGAGAAGACGTATTTGAAGATAAACGATATGAGTATTTTCTTTTTTTGACAACCCGATCCTTTAATGTCTTACTTTGGTAAAAGGAGTGTAAACCTTTTTTTTGCCAGTCACATTTTTGAATACTACAAAATTATATTAACGTATAAGGTTATATAATTAATGATAAATTGTATTTTTGTATACATATATTAGGTTCAAATTAATTTTATAAAATAAATGTATATTTAACTAATTACTCTTTCATTATATTCTTACCAACTTTACGCACCAAATCATCTCATTAATCAAGGATGCCAGAGTTAAAAATGTCAGAAGAGTGTAAAATTATCTGATATTGCTCTCTAATTGCTTTTAAATTGGACGAAGCCTTCCTGTAGTTGATGAAAACATCTCGACTATCCCGTAGAGAACTATTGATTAAACTTAGTTTGGAAGTTGTGTAGACAGAAAATATTCGATAAATTCTGTTTAATAAGACAAATATTTTTTATTAATTTATTTTTCGAACCACTAGGCCTATTTTCAATCATATTGCATATTTTGACTACCATAAAATGCAATAATAAGGAATTTTATTAAAAGTGTTAAACAAAAACTTTGCAGGTTTACAAATTGGATATGGATATGGAATTAATATGAATAAAAACATTTACGAAGTTATTAAAACTAGTTGCTCTGCCAGTGCTCCGAATCGGGTAGAAAATATATTTTGGTTACTCACTTGTCCAATGCTAATTGCTGGATGATTAAGGCTTTAGTTCTTGATATAAATTAATGTCCATGTAAAAAGGATAATAAATATACAGAATACTTATATTTACCAATTGGAGCATATAAGACTCCTCCCTTACTAAACTGTTCTTGTTTCACCCAAGTGTTGTTTATATATATAGCAAACTGAACTAATGCGTAATCAATTGAAAACGCATATTTTCAGAATCAAAAGGGTCGGACATTGATATAAAACAATCTCACATCATAAGGTAAACTTATTGTTACTTTTTGAGGTACAGCACAGACAATTTATGGTAAAAATCAAAAGATTTACTCGGGAAAAGTACACTAACAAGTTACAATTATAAACAAAAACAAATGTAACATCCGTCGCATCTTAAATATTTAAAATCCGATTTAACACAATACAACCCTTTGATTAGTCTGTGCCCTCAGGACTATTGAAAAACTGATATTTTTCGGGGAAGTTTCTCATCAAGTCCTTTCATACAAGTAGGCGCTTGATGGGCTCAAGGTTTACAATTTTGCCAAAATGTTTCGAGATCCTTAAACTTTATATATAGATCATTTATTTTGTATCATGAGTTTATTATTATACTCGTATCTATGTAAGTAGTAAGTGTAAATAGAACAAATATTGTATATTTACCCGTACCTCCTGTTGAACTCGACATCTGCAGACTCTAAAAGGTTCTTCTCAAACCAATTAAGGCGATACCTCTTGGAACAGGCGACATACATCAGCATAGCTCCCAGAAGGACTACCACGAACGACACTACCCCGTACAGCGCCATGTAGTAGCTTGCCTGTGGGTTACCCCGTGAATCGTCCATTCTGTAACACAAAACAAGCGACATACATCAGCATAGCTCCCAGTAGGACTACCACGAACGACACTACCCCGTACAGCGCCATGTAGTAGCTTGCCTGTGGGTTACCCCGTGAATCGTCCATTCTGTAACACAAAACAAGCGACGTACATCAGCATAGCTCCCAGTAGGACTACCACGAACGACACTACCCCGTACAGCGCCATGTAGTAGCTTGCCTGTGGGTTACCCCGTGAATCGTCCATTCTGTAACACAAAACAAGCGACATACATCAGCATAGCTCCCAGGAGAACTACCACGAAAGACACTACCCCGTACAGCGCCATGTAGTAGCTTGCCTGTGGGTTACCCCGTGAATCGTCCATTCTGTAACACAAAACAAGCGACGTACATCAGCATAGCTCCCAGTAGGACTACCACGAACGACACTACCCCGTACAGCGCCATGTAGTAGCTTGCCTGTGGGTTACCCCGTGAATCGTCCATTATGTAACACAAAACAAGCGACATACATCAACATAGCTCCCAGAAGGACTACCACGAACGACACTACCCCGTACAGCGCCATGTAGTAGCTTGCCTGTGGGTTACCCCGTGAATCGTCCATTCTGTAACACAAAACAAGCGACGTACATCAGCATAGCTCCCAGTAGGACTACCACGAACGACACTACCCCGTACAGCGCCATGTAGTAGCTTGCCTGTGGGTTACCCCGTGAATCGTCCATTCTGTAACACAAAACAAGCGACATACATCAGCATAGCTCCCAGGAGAACTACCACGAAAGACACTACCCCGTACAGCGCCATGTAGTAGCTTGCCTGTGGGTTACCCCGTGAATCGTCCATTCTGTAACACAAAACAAGCGACGTACATCAGCATAGCTCCCAGTAGGACTACCACGAACGACACTACCCCGTACAGCGCCATGTAGTAGCTTGCCTGTGGGTTACCCCGTGAATCGTCCATTATGTAACACAAAACAAGCGACATACATCAACATAGCTCCCAGAAGGACTACCACGAACGACACTACCCCGTACAGCGCCATGTAGTAGCTTGCCTGTGGGTTACCCCGTGAATCGTCCATTCTGTAACACAAAACAAGCGACATACATCAGCATAGCTCCCAGAAGGACTACCACGAACGACACTACCCCGTACAGCGCCATGTAGTAGCTTGCCTGTGGGTTACCCCGTGAATCGTCCATTATGTAACACAAAACAAGCGACATACATCAACATAGCTCCCAGAAGGACTACCACGAACGACACTACCCCGTACAGCGCCATGTAGTAGCTTGCCTGTGGGTTACCCCGTGAATCGTCCATTATGTAACACAAAACAAGCGACATACATCAACATAGCTCCCAGAAGGACTACCACGAACGACACTACCCCGTACAGCGCCATGTAGTAGCTTGCCTGTGGGTTACCCCGTGAATCGTCCATTCTGTAACACAAAACAAGCGACATACATCAGCATAGCTCCCAGAAGGACTACCACGAACGACACTACCCCGTACAGCGCCATGCAGTAGCTTGCCTGTGAGTTACCCCGTGAATCGTCCATTCTGTAACACAAAACAAGCGACGTACATCAGCATAGCTTCCAGGAGAACTACCACGAACGACACTACCCCATACAGCGCCATGTAGTAGCTTGCCTGTGGGTTACCCCGTGAATCGTCCATTCTGTAACACAAAACAAGCGACATACATCAGCATAGCTCCCAGAAGGACTACCACGAACGACACTACTCCGTACAGCGCCATGTAGTAGCTTGCCTGTGGGTTACCCCGTGAATCGTCCATTCTGTAACACAAAACAAGCGACATACATTAGCATAGCTCCCAGAAGAACTACCACGAACGACACTACCCCGTACAGCGCCATGTAGTAGCTTGCCTGTGGGTTACCCCGTGAATCGTCCATTCTGTAACACAAAACAAGCGGCATACATTAGCATAGCTCCCAGAAGAACTACCACGAACGACACTACTCCGTACAGCGCCATGTAGTAGCTTGCCTGTGGGTTACCCCGTGAATCGTCCATTCTGTAACACAAAACAAGCGACATACATCAGCATAGCTCCCAGGAGAACTACCACGAACGACACTACCCCGTACAGCGCCATGTAGTAGCTTGCCTGTGGGTTACCCCGTGAATCGTCCATTCTGTAACACAAAACAAGCGGCATACATTAGCATAGCTCCCAGAAGAACTACCACGAACGACACTACCCCGTACAGCGCCATGTAGTAGCTTGCTTGTGGGTTACCCCGTGAATCGTCCATTCTGTAACACAAAACAAGCGGCATACATTAGCATAGCTCCCAGAAGAACTACCACGAACGACACTACCCCGTACAGCGCCATGTAGTAGCTTGCTTGTGGGTTACCCCGTGAATCGTCCATTCTGTAACACAAAACAAGCGGCATACATTAGCATAGCTCCCAGAAGGACTACCACGAACGACACTACCCCGTACAGCGCCATGTAGTAGCTTGCCTGTGGGTTATCCCGTGAATCGTCCATTCTGTAACACAAAACAAGCGACATACATCAGCATAGCTCCCAGAAGAACTACCACGAACGACACTACCCCGTACAGCGCCATGTAGTAGCTTGCCTGTGGGTTACCCCGTGAATCGTCCATTCTGTAACACAAAACAAGCGACATACATCAACATAGCTCCCAGTAGGACTACCACGAACGACACTACCCCGTACAGCGCCATGTAGTAGCTTGCCTGTGGGTTACCCCGTGAATCGTCCATTCTGTAACACAAAACAAGCGACGTACATCAGCATAGCTTCCAGGAGACCTACCACGAACGACACTACCCCATACAGCGCCATGTAGTAGCTTGCCTGTGGGTTACCCCGTGAATCGTCCATTCTGTAATACAAAACACATGTTCATTAATTTATTATAGGGGACATTTTCCATTACAGTTGGCGGGAAACTGAGTTTTCGCAAGTTTTTGTGGTCTGGGTTCTGATCCTGTCTTCAGGTGGAAAGTTCCTAAAACATAACAAGATTACTGACCTTAAACTGAAAATTGCTATAGTTTATTTTTTAGTTTGGCGGGCTCTTTTGTATTGGCCTGTCCACCCACATGATCTACATAACAGGGCTTGTATGTGTTATGTATCCTGCAAAGCAAGGAATGAGCTGACCCAGTACAAGTGTGAATTGTCTTGATAAAAAGTTGTGCAGGTATCAGCATTGCACATAATGCAGCACAGAAAGCATACTACCTTAGTAGATTTGTCGTCCTTGGACCAGTTTAAGACAATATTGTTAGTTCCGTCTAATGAACTGTTGGGTGTAGGGGTAGTGTTTTTTTTTACAATTTGTTTCTTGTTATTTCCGTCATTTAAAACCTCGTTTTACTAACTAAAACAATCTAATCATTAACAACAACTAGTCCCCTAGTTATATAACCAAATATGAAAGCACAAAGCATGAAATTAACCTTAAAATGATAGAATCAAAATTTCGTTGACACTAGCAATCGGTGTCACCAACATGAACTAGACAAGAAAAACAAGCTTCAAAATTTACAATGGGATGAGAGTCTACTTGTGTTGGTAATTGGTTAGTCTATGGTATCAGGATCCCAAACCACGACATTGCTGACATGGTCCCCAAGCCCCAGCTCTACCTACTGAGCCACCGACTCAATATTGTATTGATGAACCGATGAACAGCACTGAGAACTATTTAGTACACAAACACAAACAAAAACCAAACACACACGGATTGGTACACATGGAGGTTAGGAGAACATAATGGACGGGTCTTCACAAGATGGTGACTAAAGCAAGATTGAGGTCACGTGTATCCAAATATCACGTGTATCCAAAAATTTTCAAACAAAACCAAAAAACATGCACCAACAGTGAAATGCAGTTTTCAGTCTCAATGAAAAGATAGTCGAACACTTTATTTATTCTCTTCCAATGCATGGTGATTATAAACTGGGTTAGGGCTTTCATTTATTGATTAATGGGCTGTTTTTCCTAATGCACCAATGAATCAGTTGGTTCTCTGTAAGTACATATTACGGCTACAAGATGCATCACACTCATCCCATTTACATTGTCCATACTTTTCCTACGGTTAACATCTAACATTGTTAACCGTAGGAGTGTACGGTTGAGTGTACCAACAAATATGAAATGCAAACAAACTATTTTTCTTCCAATCACTTTGGGAAAATTGTAAAAAAAATTTAAATCTCATAAACATTGACAAAATAAGCTCATTCCTCTCATCTATTGGCTCTTAAGCTAAATTTGCACACTTTCCACTTAGTATGCATTCGCTTATTGACTCTAATGATGAATTATTGAAATGTTAATTTAAAATCGATATCTCCATATTAATTATAAACTTACTGCTTTTTAGTAAACAGTGTAAGTGTAGAATTATGTTGCAAATATTATTAGACGTATTTATATTTTATTACCATTACGATACATAATCCCCCCCAAAAAAACCTATTACTAATCATAACACTCTGTACAAAATTATCCCCTTCATTGGCCAATATTTTTATTTCTGTAGAACTTTGGATAAAGACGCAAGCCAACAGTAAAGGAATAAAGGTTTCAGTCAGACGATTGGTTGAGAAGAAGATATTGGATGGAGTTCTGTCAAAGAAAATATCGCCTTAAGGTACAAATCAACAATCCTTTTCTTGCATCTCATTGTCGTTGTTTTTCAGTTGAAATAAGAGGATTGCTGATTTGTAGAACGACTCGATTTCATTTACTTTTATTTACCTTCCTAATGCTTATTTTACAAACTTTAAGTAATATAGGCCTACCTCAATGTATTACTCATAATCATAGGTTTAAAAATAATAGTAGGTCTTAAATTATTTTTACTAGTAGTATCTTAAACCGTTACTAACGCCCGGTGAAAATGTAAAATGAATTAATTTGGATCCATACAACAGACAAGCATTTA